CAAGAACTAAACTCCACAAATTTGGTCATGAGTCAAGGGTACCCAAGTCCTCTTAAGAGATTCACAACACACTGCAACTCAATGCCAGAGCAAGAAGTTACTTATTGTCATACCTGAGTCACAGACACACAGAAGTGATGCAACATCTGCTACTAAGGGCTTCCTTTATGTTGAACTATTTCCCCTTATCACAACGCAGTACGTAATACAGCCTGCAATACCAGTCCTCTGGAAAGTACTGCAGCTATTTTTATTTTAAGACCCACCATCGTTGGACTACCATGGGAACCCCCAAATAACACATAATATAAAGAATAATCAGCCAAACAAACATTGTGACCATAACTCAGTTCTGTTCTACACAGAGTATTATGCAATGATCACCTTAAAACAAGGAGTAACGATGACACATCCACATCATACAGTAGTAAAAATTTCAGTTAATCATTTGAGATGTAGCTTTACTAATTGAACCTTCACTATTGACAGTTTCACAACTCATGCATCTGGAAAGATGTAAGTTCTCCCGTAAAAGTTAATAATATAGATGTCCTTCACAAGATTACTGACATCTGAGCTGAGGAAAAAAAAAAAAAAAAAAGCAACCAAAAAAAACCAGAACAACTATATGGTGTCAACTCCAACTTCTTCACTGACTTAGAACTGAGAATAATCTCAGCAATGACGCTGAACTGTGAGCTGTCCAGGAAGGACAAAGGGTTGAAGGAAAAAATGTTTTGGCAAAGAAAATCCAGAATGAGGCAAAGAGAAAGCCAGAAGAGATGTACTTGCAAATTCAAGGGGACTATCTAAATAAGGCCTTGTGGATTAACGCCCTTCAGTCTTCATTAGGGAACCCTGCAGATATACAGCTTCCATAGCAACATAAATCTATTATTAGACATTTTTGCAACATGTAACACTCTAAAAAGCAAATCCCAAATAGCCTGGTTACAAGACAATTAAACAGCAAAACCATGCTGCATAAAGGAAAATAAAGGGTCAAGATACACAACGCCTTCCAACGCTTAGATATGTGGGGGAAGCAGGCAGCAAGGTAGTTGCACAAACATCAATGAAAGCAGAATTTGGCCTCAATTAGCAAAAGGCAGAACTTTTTCTTTTCAGTCTTATTTTCAGTTGTTCAATCTTTTCCCAAAGAGACTCTTCTGAAAATGCATTTTCTTCACTTTGGTCTGAAACCCAGAACATTATCTTTGCACTAACAGAGGATGCATTATCATCCATTGAGAACATTACAGTCTGAGCAGGGACTAGAGAGGGAATAGGGCAAG